ATCTAACTTTCCCTCCAGATTATTTTCCTACTAAGTGCCTTTAATTGATCTTACCTACTCAGTCTTTGGTCCTCACTGAAACAGGATTCTGATAAACATAAATTGTTCCTGGGATATTTATACTATCATACATCCCTTTACTCTCAGAAGTTCCAATTGCATGATGACATATGCTATCATGGTGTTTGAAGCTACCATAGGAAATAACTCACGCAGAGATCATAGTCTTCTAGAATTTCCTTGAAGATATATATTCAGCAGAAAATTCTAGTAGAATAAGCCTCTTTTGGTGCAATAATAGTATTTTATTGATGTCCCCAAATTAGTGCATTCCTAGAGGTAGTGGTTACTGTAACTTAATTTCATATGTAGGAGGAACACACTCTGTGATAGTTGGATTTTTAATATTTTCAAAGTACTGTGTTTCACATCCTACACTAAAAATTCTCACTCTCCTTTTTAGTACTTGTCTTTGGTTGTATGAAAAACTACTTTCATGACTCCAGCAGCTTTTCAGCTTTTTAGCTGTCAGTGTCAGTTTATGACAAGCCTTTCTGTAGCTTTTCATATCTGTCATTCACGCCCTCACCAGTGGAGTCCACATGGTACTATTCACTCCTAATTTGTCTTTGATGTTTTGCTTGGGTTACTCTTCCAGCAGTCCTTCCCCAGCTTTTTTTACAGCTATCATTTGGTATTGGGCATGGCAGGAGGGACCTCATCTTACTTATGTAACACTGGCAGCTTTGCACCACAGGCAAGTGGAGTTTTATTTATTCATTTAAACTGCCTTACTAAGCTCACCTTTTTGAAGTATTTTATTTGGAAGAGAGCAGTAACCTTGAGATTGTAAATGAACTTTTAAGGTTAATACCTTTAAGGTAACTCTGATTTCATCTTTCTCATCAGCTAAGATTATTCTGTCCTATAGGCTTATACAGTATGTTATCCTGCTTTCCCACCTGGTAATAAGATTTCCTTGTTAAACCACTTCCAGAGGAATATATGTTGCAAAATTCACTCATCACCTTCACTAGTCAGGGGTCTGATCTTGCATGATGTGGGTTCATAATTTACAAACACTATCCCTGGTAAACAAAAATGCATAAACTGACATTCCTGCCACTAAACCATGCACCAATCTGCATTTTGTGCAAGTGCAGTGGAAAGTATTTTTGCTCTCTTGAAATTTCTGTGTGATGGTGATGAAAGATAGCTGGGTCTTGGCACATGTGTCATCCCCCCCAGGCCCCCCCCTCCACCCCCCCCTCAACCTTTGCAATTGTCTCTGGTGGGCATTTTGTCCCAGAGTGAGAACACCAGGTGGGAATTGCAGGAGAAGCCATCTAGATGCTCACATAATTGATGCATTCCAGAGATGGGGGACCTGTGATGGTTGACTTTGTTACCCATCAGCCTCCAGCTGGGCATAAGGTGCTGGTGGCCACTGGACCAACTGGGCCAACTAGTCTCTGCTGGAGGTGTCAAGCAGCTTCTGAGTGTCTCATCCCACCCCCTCTCCCAGCAGGGACTCATGCAGGGTATGTGCAGCCTGAAATGGGGAATACTCACTTTTAGACAAGTGAGTGAAAGCACTGAGGTCTGGTCACATACGGAGATAAAATCCTAAAGTAGCTGCATAGGGGCTCTCTTGGTTTGTAACTGTGCATCCTGCAAGGCCCAAGGCTGTAAACCTGTGTCTTACAGGATGTTTGAGGCACTGACTGTCCTGGACAAGTTTTACATGTAACCATAGGAGACTTAACCACTAAAATGTAGGAAAACTTCAGTATTGAGCAAACATTCTTTTTTATAGCAAATATTATATTTTGGTGATGAGGTATTATTTTTGAAGCTGTCAAATTTGATTCAATAATATCAATAAAGTCTTAAATCCATAGTGTTTACATGTGTGTCTATTTTGCTCTACATTATTTGGTGTTCAAAGATTTCTGCAACAATCAAAATAACATTTATGTTGTGCAATAAGTGTCAGGTCCATGGAAAACCTTAAATAATTTTCTGACTTTGAGTTTCTGAAATGCTGTAGTGTTTAATCTCAGTAATTGACATGTTTGTCACTTGGAGACTTTACTCATAGAGACTTTCTTAGAATAAATTGAACCTTTCTAATAGTACATGAAAACAATTCATCAATCATGGGAATCTAATGTTATTTACATATCTTCAAAATATTTTATTTATTTTTCAAAAATAAAATACAAAATTAATTTTATAAAAAATCCATTATTTTTATTATGACTTAACTGCTAATTAGAGCCTTTTATAACTCTCTTAATAAAAATATGGCAGTAGACTCAAAGACCTACAGAGAAATCTATAATCAACATCATATAGTTTTAAGTTCTTAAAAAAAGTAAATTTTAATCAGATATATTATTTAGATGAAAATAGATGTTGATTAATTATCAAACTGGCGATCTTTCTAGTAGTATAAGGTTGAGGCTATACCACAGTATAGTGCAAATTCCTCCGAAGTCTGATTTACTGGATACTCTCATTACCTATATTAAAATGTACACAGTAGACCACTAAAAACAATCTGATTTATCTATCTTGTTATAGTTTAGATGGCTTTTGAAGTACTAGCTATAAAATAACTGGAAAAATCAAAGTTTTAGTGACCTCTGAGTATTCTTCATTAAGTAGGTTGATCTAAATAAGGTTATTTTAAATTTAGATAGTACATTCAGAGCTCATTTTATGTACCAAAGAGCATCTGTTTGTGAATAACCTCCCTTTCCTGTTGCGACCTGTAAAGGAAAAGTCTCCAAGTATATAATACTGAGTGTTTGGGTAATATAAATCTTCAGAGAGTTTACTCACCTGCAAACACTAATTTTAAAAAATATTCCAAATTTTCCACAACTACAGGTTTCCCCATGTCTCTTATTTTGGTGATTTCTCAGTTATTGGTTTATATAGTGAAAACCTGCACCTGCAGATTTGAAAAGACCGCCTCAAGTAGTCAAGTAATCTAAAAGGATTACCCTGGGAAGAAGGCGATTTTGTTTTTTTCTCTTTAGAGGAAAATGAATCCACATGTTTGCTTTACCTCAGACATCTTTTGTATATTTAGAAATAATGCTCATGAATCAGAACCATACACTTGTTTTAAAGTCATTAATAGCAAATTTAGCTATTTAAGTTCCTTAAGTGTTTATTTTCAAATTATGACTTCTACGAATGCTCTGGTGGCAAGTACTTGAAATTGCCACTGATACAAGTCACGAGCTGGCCCAGGCTCCACCATTGCAAGACTCCCTACATGCCTACTTCAGCAGATGTGCTTGATCCTCTTTCCATGTCTTACATCTGGGCTCTGCACTTTGAGACTGCAATAAAGAGCTTGTTTTCTCCTGTTTATCCCACCTGCCAATGTAGTCTGGACACCTGGAAAGTCATGCTGGTCTCCACCACAGTGTGGGGTATAGGAGAGCCCTGAGACCTCAGGCTGAACAGACAAATCCTGACGTGGGTGTGGGTTGAAGTCTTTGACCTTTGTGTCACTCCAGACAGGGCCAGAGACTTGTGGTGCCACCTTTGTATTCCCAGCTCTATCGGTAAGATGCAGCCCTGATCAAAGCCTCTGGGACACCACGTGTGTCTCCACTGTCAAGGGAGAGCTGCCTGCAAAAGCTGCTGGTAGTGCCCTGAGTGCCAGCACTTCTCTTGAGCTGGAGATTATCAGTAGTATCAATCTCTACTTTATAATCCTTTTTGCTTGCTTCAATATTGCTTAAAAAATAGTGCACTATACTGTACTAGTAGTTATAGCTACCTATACTGGCTATTGAATAATTCTGATTAAGATCTTTCAGTCCAACTCTTTTCATAACAAATCACTTGTAGGAAGCCGAATGCAACCTTGCTGTTCCCCCAGAAAACCTCGTGCTTGTGGCTCCAGCTGCACTTCACACCTTGTGCATGCCTGACACCCACTCCTGCCTTTGCTTTGTGCTCTAAACAGAATGCCATACCTGGGCCTGAGATGCTCAGTTTCTTATAGCCAATGTTTAGCATGTGCTACTTTGCTTAAAAGAACCTGTTTTGAATAGGTAGCTTTCTTTTTTTTTTAATTGTCCTTAAATAACATAGGTACCCCTGGTAATAATGAACACAACTAAAAACCATGTGATATTAAAGAGTCCAAAAAATGTGGCTAAGGATGTGAACTGTTGGATTTACAGATGTTAGGTTGGCAGGATGCAGGCAAGCCTCTGGGAAGTGCCTCATTCTGCTGCATGCTTCTGTTGCAATGTAACTGTTCTTACTTTGACAACCTAGGATTTAAAAAAAGAATTTACTTTTTGGATACCCTTCCACCTTTTTTTTCTTCTTGCTTTTTTTTTTTGTTTGTTTGTTTTGTTTTGTTTTTGTTTTTTTTTTGGTTTTTTTTTTGTTTGTTTTTTTTTTTGTTTTCCTGGTAACCTCCATCTGAAAGGATTTATTAATTAAACCAGTAGAATGGAGTAATCACTTTACAAGGGTAGTCAGCTTCCCCATTTTCTCCTAAGGTGCAAAAAGGACAAAATATTATTTTGCTATTTTATATAGCTGAAAACAAGTGAGAACAACTGACAATAATTACATTAGAGAAAGTTAGTCTTCATTTTATTCTTATTGAATGCAATGAAAGGAAAAAACAGTCTGAAGAAAAGGAGCATGACACAGAAGAAAGCACATATTTCAACCTCACTAAAATAAAGAGATAGAAATCATATGTAACAGACTTTTCAATGTGCAATTGCCTGATGAAAGTGCTACTCTTCAGCTTAATTTAAAAGGAAATTTTTATTATCAAGAATATCAAAAGCAAATGTTGTTATACAACATTTTTATCTGATTATTTAATCAAATCTTTCCCTTATCACCTGTTCAAAAGCTTGCCATTTCAGCAATATTTCAATAATTAAATTTGTGTTAAGAAAACCATACTGGTTAACTTGGGCTACAACAAAGTGTTCATCTTATTCCAGTTCTCCAGCTCTGGCAGAAGTCACTATGGGGCCTGTGAATGCAGGATAAGAACAGACTGAAATTTCACCTCCAGCTTCTAGTAAGCCAGGACCTTTTATAATGGATATAATGTTTGTGTAGTTCTTGATAGACCTATTTGATAGGTGGTTATTTGTCAGATATTTTACAGAAAATTCTTGCATGAATTTTTTTTCATCCTTTGTGAGGATTTCTGTTGCTTAGAGCAGGTAAAATGTCCCATAGCAATGGGCTCCATGTGATAGTTGCAGCTTATACAAGGAAGTATCATTCTCTTTTAATTCTGCTGCTTTTGGTCTAAATCTCATATCTTTTTGTGTTCCAAGAAACAATGAGTTCCTGGTTATCTTCTCCTTTGTTTGATACATATATTTGGGATAAATGCATAACAAAGTTTATATGTCTGTATATATTCTTCTATCCAAAACCATTGTAATATTGCTATCTGGTTGAAGAACAAAAAATACCAACCCAAAAAAACCCCACTGGACTTCTTCAAGGAGAAGTTAATTTAGCATCATTACTATGATGTTAAATTAGCTACCAATTTACTTGTAAAACCTCATCAAATTCAATTTCATCTATGAAAAATAAATGCTGTAATTTGGAAAGGATTGCTGTTTTTCTCACTCACATCTGTCTGAAATTGAATCTATTGAGTCTGTGCTTTAACTGCAAAACTGGTGCTTAACTGCACGGGATATGTCCATAATTCTGCTTGATTGATAAAAGTAATAAATTTATAATGTCTCTACTTGAGGTAAATAATTTAAAATCCAAAATATTAATGAAAAATATGGAATTAAAATTATATGATCAATGCATCATCCCTACACCTTACTTCCCCTGTGCAGATGTGAGACAGAGAAAAAATTCAGCTTTACTACACTCATTAGGTAATACTACTTTTTTCCTCTCCTTGAAAAAGAAAGTTCTACTAATTGTTGGTTTTTTAAACTTTCCCAAAACTGACTATAGGGGAAATCCTCTGGCAGGCTTGCACTTCTCAGCTGTGATGGATCTGGTTGCGCTCATTTCTGGTTTCACACTGTCCTGTCATTTAAGACCAGCCTTCTTCTAGACCTTTTATGCTTTGGAAATTACCTGTGAAAGAAAAGATGAATTTTCCAACCCTCTGCATCTACATAAAGAGGTGATGAATAGAGGCAGCAGAGATGCAGCTGAGGTTTACCTATTTTACCTGAAGAAGGTTAGGTCAAGTGTAAAGACTGCTTACAAAAATAAAAATACATAGAACAAAATAAAAGAAATTACTGAAAGTCAAACCCATAAATATACATTATCAAGAATGATTATTGTTGTATGTGCAAAAGCCAAGATATGCTTCTATCTTACAAGTTTTGCCGTGATTACAGTGAACATGAAAACTACTAAGTATATAAATGTGAATATCAAAGCTCTTAATTTCCATAACACTTAAAAAATTACATACTTTCTTAGGAAATTAAACAAGTCACAATCCAATAGAGTGACATAAGCTGGTTTCTAAATATAATCATCCTGAAAGAAATGGACTCTGGGAATTGAATAATGTTTTCAATCAATGTGCAATTGAACAGTTTTCATAAAAAGCAGTAAAAACAAAGCAATAAACTAATTAAAATACAGAATGGAGATAAAAATTTACTTGGGGCATTTATAATTACTTTTAATGTGCATAGGTTTCCTGTGCTGGAATCAAATATTCACAGCACAATAAAAAGGTCCATTTTGAATCTTATAATAAACATGTAATTTAAATATTAAATACAAAACAGTTTTAGAAACAGGCCTTTCTCCCGTTTATTTTTTTTCCTTTTGGTCAGTGATAAGAACTATCTCCATTTTGTTTTTATGGGTTTGTAATGTCTAATAACTGCAAGATGACATGGTTGCAGTGTGCTGTTCAATGTCATTTTTCTGAGTAAATCCCCAAAGGCAGAGCTGAATGCATGTGTGTGCATGTGTCTCAGTGAGCTTAATTTTTAAATCTCTCCTTCAAGTCTGGCTGAAAATTTATAAACATGGTAATCTTGTGAGAGTGAAAATAAAGATTATGCAGGGTTATATATTCTGTGCTGGGTCATTTCACACTGCTGGAGTTTGTCTCTTCAATTAATTAAATTCACCTTTTTAAAACACCTACAATAGAAAGAGGCGCATTATTGAAACTATTATATTTCAGAGAATGCTGCTAGTAGAGATTTATTTGTGGAAACTTGTTTTAAACTACAGTTTCACTTTTTTTTTTTTTTTTTTTTTTTTTTTTTTTTTTTTTTTTTTTTTTTCCTTTTGGCTTCCTCTACAGATAAGCTGCGAAGTCATATAGGAGATGGCAGATGTTTAGAAATATTAATATTGCAAAGGCATGCAACACTCCTGCTGTTTCACAAAGGCACACAGAGAAAAAACAATGAACAGTGCAGCTAAAAGCTTTAGGCTCATTTAAATTTAATAAGCTCAGAACATGTAGATGTTATAAAAGAAGCAGGAGACAGAGGTGTTTTATTGGTTAATTTTTCATGTTTATAGATATTTTAGATATAGATATTTTAGATTTCTGTGCTGTAATGCATTGAATTAGGCCACTGACATGACTCTTACTGAAGCCAGTGGAATGACTTATGGTAAGAAAGGAATATTCCCATCAATGAATACGGGTCAACATGTAGGTCACTATCTGCACTTGTGTTGCAGGAATCATAACTTCATATTTCTACTGTCATATTGGCACTCAAAATAGCTTGTCCTTGACATACCACTCATCAATGCTACAAGACTTTCCATCTTCAGGAGAGAATCAGTGATCAGAAGGACTCAAATATTATGTATTTAGAGTTTATAATGTGACATATTCATTGGAGAATACTAATGCTCTTATATACAGGGGTTGCCCATATGATATAAAATTATTCTAACTTTCTGTACCCTTTCTGAGATTTTTTTTTTGTGAAAATAGACACTGAAGCAAAATACCTTTTTCATGCCTATTTTTTACATTCACTGCATGTCTGCTTTTCCTAGGTTTTCCTGAAGCGACTTTTCTTCCTTCTACTCTTCCACTTTCTGAACATGCTGAGGTTAGTAATTTTAGAACTGCTAATAGAATTGGTCTGAACTTGAGAATTCTATTTCTCAAAAGCATTGAGATGTGAAAATCTGGACTCCTTCTAAATCAAAACCAAGTGACAAAAAAATCTTACAAGCAAGGCAGGATAAGAAACACTGTGTAGCTATCAGTGAAACAAGTATTTCTGCTCTGAAATGATGTTTCCTGGAATTATGATTGCCTGAGTGCCTGAGTCTGCGATTCTTGTGGTGTTTGGTGTTTTTTTTTGTTGGTGTTTTTTTTTTTTTTTTTTTAAGACTTAAACTTCCAGGTTACTCTTTGGAACTGCTGGGAGTTCTGGTTCAAGATAGAGAACATGGAGTTTAGGCTTCTGTCTCTGTGGCAGGGAACTTAAAGAACCTGAAACCTCCCATGTAGTTGGGCTCATTTGATGTTGTTGGGTCCAACTATTTAACAAAGGAGAGAGCTCAATTTTAACCAGCCTTCATTCTGTAAAAGAAACCCCAACAAAATACCAAAAGGCAAACAAACAAGCAAAAAAAAAACCCAAACAAATCTCCACAATCTTTCATTTAAAAAGAATATAACTATCAGGATATAGCCTTGAAAAAGTTCTCTTATAACAAATATAATGAGATTAATATCCTCTTTTAATACAAATTAATATTTTCTGTAGGCAAAAATCAGGAATCCAGAACCTTTTCCATCAAAGTCTGCATGCAAGTACTTACTGAAGATGCCACCATTTCTTTGTGTTAGTTAATTAGTGTTCTCCAGGCTTCAAAATAACGTCACCTTTGGGCACACAAAGGGATGACAATATTAGCGGCATAAAAAATTTTAAGTAACAACTGTCCCAAAAGAAATATGTTGAATTTCAGTTCTTTTACTTTGCAGAAGTTGAAATAGACTAAAGAGGAATCTGGGTAAAGTTAATTACCCTGAAGCTGTAGTCAGGAACTCTTGAAGGAGATTATTCTGATACATAAAAACTAGGAAGGGATCATTAATTTATCTAGCACTGGGGATGGATTGAGTCATGAGAATATTAATAAAGGATCAATCTCTACTAAATAAGCTTTTTAATGATTACTTTTAATATTTATTATGTGAACTAAAATGACTAAAATGACTAACTGAAATAATCTCCTTTCCAAAGCAGATGTGAATAATGACAGATGCCATTGCTGTACAATAGAAATTACTCAGATCACTTCTGCTCTGATGTCATAGTATTGAAACATCAAAAACATTTTTAGGGAAGAACAAAACTTCCATACGGATCATATACCAGACAAATGGCCAAATGTTTCTTCTGCTAGTAACAGTTCTTGTTTGAATCAATATAAGGAAAATGAAAATTCTTTTTTCCCCTGCTTAAAATATGTGATTTTTGAAAGGATGTTATAAACAAACATGCAGTTTCTTACTCTTCTCAGGCTCAATATCTACCAATCCTTGAAAACTTCCTGAAGTTTTACAAATGACTTCTTAGACTTCTGCATGTGTTTGATTTGCATGATACCCTGTAGCTTTAAGATTCATAGACTAAACATATGACTTTTTTGGGTTTAATTTCATGTGTGTTACCTGAGTGTTTAAAGGAGCACTCCTTAGTTCTTATTTTGTGGCAAAAAATAGACCACCCTGTCTTCCACACAGGCTGACCATTTTTGTTAAGTAGCAGAGAACTTAACAAGACCAATGATGATAAAATTGCAGTAGAGTGAGATCACTAGTTTAGACTAACTTCTCAGGATGGTGATGTCTGTAGGTGCTGCTAACTTCTCAGGGCTTTGTGTCAGATCTCTTGGAACTGAGATATCCCAAAATGAAGGCTGTGTTGGATAATGTGAACCTTTGAATTTTCCACCAAGCACCAAACACAACACAAGCAGAGCACAAATATTCTCAAATATGGAATAAACCCCTAAAAGAGCCAAAATTTGTCAAATGCAACCAATTTTTAATGAGAGGACTGAACTAGAATTCATGTCCTCTCAATTTTTAACAAGTTCAAAGGAAGGAAAATCTCATAGGCAGTTCAAATTTAGTTTGCTTTATCAACCCCCCCACCCCAAACACTAAAGAAGTAAAACCAAAAATCTTTGTGGTTGGTAATAAATAATCAGTGATAAAGTACATCAATTGGGCAAGATGTATCTGTGTACATGTAATCATCAGGCAGATATGTGCAAAAATAATCAAAATCCTGACATTTATGGTCAGTACATCTGCCCTTCAAATACCTATAGTCTTGACACAGGAAAATTTTACAGATCTTATGCCATTTTCCCCAAAAGAATTCAGGGAAATGATGAAATTTGACACATTGGTTGTAATTTTAGTATTGATTGTTAGATATCTCTTCTGTTATATTGTCCTCATATTTTCAGGTCCTTCTATGAAAATAATTCCCCAATAAAGAAGAACTTTGCAGAAGAAAATATATTTATCTTTTAACTTTTCCCCCTTTACTCCAAAATATAGTGCATAGTGTCCCCTTTCTGTATAGGTGGTTTCCTCTGCAAGGGAGTTTTATATTTCAGAGAGAAATTATGATTTCCCTTTCTCTGCTTGGGAAAACAAAGAAATAAATACATGACCCCTCAAGGGTCATGGACAGTCTTCCATTCATTAATACAGGTAAAGTACAGTATCTGGATATACTATAAGAGTACTAAAATTGCAATTTTAATCTTGTTATAATTCATCATCTAAGCATGTTATCATGATGGCAAATTCTGATGAACTCCTAGCTATATTATTCTCTTCCAAAATAAAGACTAAATAAAGTCAAAAAAAGCAAGAGGCTTTGGAGGTTTTATTTGCTGTTTCTCTTAGTGATAATTTTAGGAATATCCTACAGCAAACATTAAATGTACTATGCAGTTGAGTTTAAAATGTGTTATTTCTGCATTTTCTCAGAAAAAAGAAAAGGTATTTTAAGTGATTACCTATTAGAACATACTCTAAACTTGTCTTGGACAACACAAGTACTTAAGAATAGAGGCACAAGATTTACCTCATTTATGAAAAGGCTCAGCTTTGCCCATACATAAACCACTAATATATTATCCTCAAAATTTGCCTATGAAAAAAAAAAGCTATAGAAAAGAATTTTATTACTCTTACTTGTCATGTCAGTTACAACTATTTTCTACATAATATTTTTTTCTCTCAATTCTAAGCCATTTTGAGATAGTAAAACCTGGCTGTCCCACTGCAAGGAATCGTGCTTCAAATACAGTGAATAGAAATGTGTAGAAAAACGTCTCTAAGAGCAATCATAAAGAGATGCTGTATCCTACTTAATTTTTTCTGTAAACAAGACTTTTGTTAAGATATTAACTTTTCTTTTTCTGTGGAAAAGTATCTGGAAATGGGACTATAGCTGGAAATGTGTATAAATTAAGTTTTAGATCAGTTAAAAATGTTGGGTTTATTATGTACTTGGAAGATTTTTATTCCTATTATAAACTCAGTTAATGGATTTCAAGTGATAATTTCTCAGGAAACAGTTTTCCCTATCTTAGATTCCACTTCCAGGCACAAAGTTTCCCAAATACATTGTCTCTTATTTTTGTATTTTTCTTGTTATGCTTTGAGAAACCTGAAAACCGTTTTTAATTTTTCCTAAAACAAAATAACAGGCAAAAGGTCTCATAGCTAGGCAGATATCTTGGAAACCGACCAGCAAACTGTCGTAATAGCTCAGAGTTCTTTACTCCCTTGCACACTCCAGAGAAAAGAAAGCCCAAGGCTCTCTACAGCACTGAAAAGTTTAGCCAAAGTATGAGTTCATGTTTAAAATCCTTTCTAACATAGCAAAGAGCTGTGACATTAGAGTTTTAAGTCTGTGCATCTGTAAACCATGAAAATCTCACTAGATGGTGCTCAAGAATACACGGTCCCTGGACTGGCACACCCCGTGGACTAAATGACACAGGTGTCTGCACTGGTCACGATGCTAAATGGTTTATAGCTTTTAGAAGTTTAGTCTCCATGGTAAAAATCTAGAAATTACAGTTCCTGGGATCCTGGTAGGGAAGGAGAATTAGGTATTTCAGAACTGCTTTTCAAGGTATTCACAATATTCAGAGAGCTTCCAATTGTTAACTGTGCACATAGGAGTAATCTTGATGACAGGGGTCCCTTAAAATTCAAGAAAACGTTGATCTTATGGTCTTGGTCAGAAAAGATTCTTTTCACTCTTCCTTATAAAGACTTGGTGCTGTTAAGACACATCTGTGGGATCTGTCATTTTGGAAACAATGGACAAGATACATGGGATTTTCCAGTACAAAGATTAGGAGAAGTCCAGAAGAAGTCTGACATGGTCTTTGTTTTCAGACCTTTTAAACTGAGGCAACAGCCACTGTTATATTCCTGTAAAGCACAGAGTTCCTCTAAGGTGGGAGATATCTTCAGATAATTTTAGGCAATGGGAAGTGAGTGGGGATTAAATTTCAATATAGTGTGTCACCTAGTCAATAAGTTGTTACTATACCTGCCAGTCATGAAGTTTAAGAAGAAAACAGCAGGACTACCTTCATACTGTTCATGGACTCTACTGATTGGGTTTCCTCTGAGAGCAGCTGTTACCACATTAAACCAGACAGGACCATAAGCATAGGTAAGAATTTGACTTGACCAAAAGTGACCTGTTTTTGCTCATGTACTGCTAGGAAAATGGAGAGTGGTAAGGTTGAATCCAAGGTGCTGATCAGTCAGAATCTAAGGCTGTGGTTTTAGGTGACTGCTTGTATTTTATTACAACCTAGTCACTCAGGTACTGGCTTTGACATTCATCAGACAAAGGGTACTGTGAAATGTCTATATTGAACAATTCTTTCTACAAATTAAATGAGATTTTCTGGCTACATGCAATAATTTACCATAATAAAAATAACTAATGGAAAACATAGCTATTATTTTTAATATTATCTGTGAAGAGTGATGGGAGCTATTCTTCCTTTTTGTAGAAAGCAATTATTGACTGCCTGTAGGAAAGCAGAGTTCATTTCTCCTCAGAGCAAAACTATGTCCATTTTCCATAAAAAAACCAAAAGAATTTTCCCATGAACAAAGAATAGCCTATGAAAGAAAGGAAAAACAAAAGAGACTGAACCTGTCTTTGTTTCCTTGTGGAAGATGTCTCTGACTTAAGAAAAAGGAAAATAATGGAATGCTTCTTTGATTGATTTTGCAACTAATAGAATAGCACAAAAGCATGCTAATTGCTTTAAAATAGAAATGGAGAACTTAATTCAAAATTGGTATAAACATGTTCAGCTTCCATTTAATTAGCACTAACTGAAAACAATGACTCTTCAGAGTGCCCCCCAACAAAAGTCTGTGCATGGAAAAGCATAAAAAATTAATTATATGGTGCTTATGTTTCTACATTAAGAGCAAGTGTTACATTGCACTCTGTATTTCTTTATTACTCTGTAGTATAGATTTCTGAGTATGGTGCTACTAAATATACTATTGCACTAAACCTAAATTAGACTTTAGTATATCCAGAATAATTGAGGCCTGTTAGGCCAGGGAAAATGACTGAATGAAATGTCCACTTGAATGAGATTTGGTCTTGCCCTCTTTCCATGTGCATTACAAGTTGTCATGCTAATTTCTTCAAAAGTGCTGGTAATGATTGCCTTAGCAAATTATTGTGAAAACTCCTTGTAATCGAAAATACAAAGTATATAAAAATATTCATAACATGAAGATGCTTTAAAGTTGCAGTGGAGCATTCCCAGCAGGAGTGAGAAAACGCCTTTTCTCCTGTT